GTCGTTTGGATCGCTCCTGATCTACATTCTGTTCCCCCTTTCTCCTACCCCGCTTGCCAATTGGTCGCTGCTAAACATCAATCAAGGTCAAACAACTTCTATACAAAAGGCCACATCATCTTGGTCTTCATACCTTCGATCAAAATCACTGTCTGGCAGTATAAGAGCCTTCAATTCCCATCTCCGACTACGCCGTATGCAATGCCAGTGCCTGAGAAGCTTCCTTTACCTAGGCTTCAAACCCATGATCCTCTTCCTCATCTCCATCCACATTGTCCCATTCTTTGGGGTCCTGTGCCCGGCTTAAGTTATAACACTGGTGTGAAAATGTACCATTCCTCCTTATCCCCCTTGAATCGCCAAGAGTACACTCGTCTTTCAAATTGAGATTCCCATCTAACCATAGGGTGCTAGATTGTTCATGTGTGTTGGCTGGTATCCCCCGTACTCATCTATCACAAGTTATCTCCCCTTCAGGCGCAGACGCGAAAAGTGCACACCAGCATCCACGTGCTGGTGACTTATATCTAGCCCACATATACCCTTTTATATCCTACGTCTTACAGGTACGTCACATAGTACATTTTTTTGGCTGATTCCAGGTTTTAACCTCTCACTGCAATCGCCTTTTCTTGACTTCCCTTTGTCCTTCATGAGCCGCTTCTTGATGTCTCTTCTTAATATTGAAAAGTTTCCGTTGGTCCAAGTATCTTCTTTTTAACGTCTTCGCTGAATCTACAAGTCTTTCCAGGTAGTACACGACATTATCGCCGGCCTTTCCCTCTTCTAATCTCCTGTTAACCAGCTTTCTTTGAGAGAGGATGCCCAAAGCCTCCCATTTCCTAGTCTTTTCTCCATATGAGGCCAGTCATTCCGTTGCACTCCAGTAAATTGTAGCCAATAAGGGCAATGTGTTCAGCTATCTCCGATCTTTCCGTATCCATTTTTCTTCAGTCTCTAGTGTTTTGATCTTTGTGCCGATTGTCCTTCCCGTTTTTGTTTACGGTCCTTGCAATTTATGCTGTGAACTCCGGAGCAATCTATTTTGCTGACTTCTTTATGTTGCTTACGCAAGCTGGTGAATACAAGGAAACTCTTGAGCTTCAAATGTATGCCCACTTTTGTGAAAAAATAGGCTGTTTATCTTGATTCGTAAGTTAGTAGGGTTTCGAGACTACCAGTAAATCAGTGTAATGAGATGTATTCACCCTATTTCG